TTCACGGATTAAATTTTGTATTTACTTCTTAGTAAAGAAGTTTATACATTTTATAAAATACAAACGTTTGATGATTTTAGATTTTATGCACTCTAAAATAAAACTTTATATGCAATTAGAACAACTTTTTCAGATTAAATGTGAGAAAAACCCGCATTTTTCATATTTTACTATGTTTTATTAATAATTTTTTTGTGTTGCATTATTTTCGATTGCCACTGTAAGTGTAAAGACTAAAAATTTTATTTATAATAAATCATAATTATAGTTATCGACAACTATAGTTTAAAAACAATAATAGTGCTAATACAGATTGATTTATAAAAGTATATTTTAAAGTTAAATTAAAATGATTTGGATATAAATTTGTGAAATTACAATTTTGATATTAACTAATATTATATTATAAAAATAAAAAGTTCTAATTGGTCAGATTAATAAGATCTATAATTCAAAATTGATGGTGGTGTCATGATATAATATTGAATGTCATGTTTTTCATTATATAAATTTAAAATATATATTATAAGAATTAATATGATTAATTAAGATAAATTAATTATTTATCTAATATATATAACTTAATTAAAAATATTTTTTAAAATAGATTATATATATTTTTTAATATATTATATTACAAAAGATTTAGCTAAATATAATTACAGCTTTCCAAAGACAATGTAAAATTTATAAGAAAATTAAAATATCAGAAAAATTATTTTACTACTAAGAAAAAAATAAAGTTATTATAAAAGAAATTAATAAATAATATGAAATAATGATTCAGAGAGAAGAACAACCAGAGATTTTATGTAATTAAATAATTGTTAAGATGATGAAAGTTCAGTAATATTATAATAAGACATATTTTTCTGAAACTTACTTTATTTTTATAGTATTAATATTATAAAATATGCTAAAGTACTATTATATATTAAATAATATATAATTATATATTGTAAAAATTAAGAAGTGTATATATCAAATATCAAATAAAATAATATATATAGAAATTTATAATAAAATTATTAATAATATAATATATACAAAATATAATTAATAGAAAGTTATATTTATTTTGTATTAGTTTTTTGATTATTATAATAAAAGCTTAACAATTAGAATTTTTTCAAAAGCAACCAGAAATCACAAAATTTGACTATGATAAATTTCCAGCAAAAAGTGTAAAGAAAAATTTGGGATAACTAAATACAGAAAAAATATCTATATCAAAAGTGCAAATAATAAATAAAGAATGTGATATATATAATATAATAGAAAGTATATCTGTTTTACTATTACTAAAAATTAAAAAAATATGAGTTTTTAAGCAACAAACTATTAGTGAATTCTAGATCTGATTGGTATTGCTGAATAATTTATCAGACCAAGTAATAGTCTTTTAGATTTTCGGTTATATTGTTATTTCAGAATTATTGATATTATTTATATATGTAAACTCCAAGAAAATTTTTGTATTTGCCAGAAAATCTAAACAGAATATTTTCTTTAAAATTAATAATATTTTCGAAATAAATACTTATTATTACAAATTTATCAAATAAATATTTATTTTATAAAGGAATTTTTATAATTCATTTAAAAATGTAGCTGAATATTGTCAAATTCAAGTTTATTTTAAATAAACTAATATTATATAGATAAAATAATATTTCAGAAATTATAACAAATTCAATAATAAATTTTAATACCAATTCTTGAATAATTTTTTCATATTCGTATTCATTTCATCGGAATCCTCTTCATTAATTTCATCATAATATCCTGCCCTTCAATTTAGCACTTGATCAATGATCATAAAACATTCTGGAATATCAATATATAAAATTGAATCTGTAGTTACTTTTCTTCTAATGTGATTGGTTGTATTTTTTCAGCTTTGATGTGATTCTTTTGAACAAACTTTTCATCAATAAAATTTCTTGATCTTGCAAAGAAAATCTCCATTGACATTGTCAATTATATTTGAATGCATTGAAGTTTTCTCATTAAAATTTTCAAGTCTTGTTAGTTTGAGGCAGACATTTAAGTATCTTGTTGCGTTCAACCGATAAGATGCGTGCAGGTTTAACATGCTGAGCGATTGTGGCATTTGGTAATTAAAAATACTCGTCAGAAAGGAAGATTTGAATAGATACGATCGATTGCAAGGAAAGAAACAAGAAGCTTCAATGAGGAGCTATCATTAACCAATATACGGCTTTGAATTGTTCTATTTATTGAACTAAAAAAAGGAAATGCATACAGCCACAAGAGTGGAATCGGCGCTCTATCGCTATTCGAATATATTTCTTGACTTTCCATATTTAGATTGTAATCAATTCTTTGAAGTATCACACAGCAATAACAGTAACGGTAAGAAATTACGTATACATGTACAACGATAACACAACAACAGATTATACAATAACGACATGTACTGTGCACGTGATAGAAAAATTCTCCCATGATATACGTAATTATTAATATGGTACATTTCTTCTGAAATTGAAAAAACAATACCTTGTGCACGGTGTTAAGAAAAAGCTATGGAAGAAAATAACTCTCAATCCCAAATCATCGTCCTCAACGTTGGCGGACGAAAGGTATCTAAGGATCTTTATTACAAGCGGAGCCTTTTCGTTTACTAACATTATACTAAATATATAGTATGAGACTTTCCAATCTACTTTAACCGCCTATCCAGATACTTTACTTGGCACAATGTTTGCAGAAAGGAATCAACATCTTTTGAAACCCAAAAATGGAAACGAATATTTTTTCGATCGTAATGGCCGAGCATTTCATTACATTATGGAATACTATAGATCTGGAAAACTTTATTTTCCGACTCAACTTAACGATGAAAATTCTAAATTTTGGGTGACAAAAGAAGAAATCGAATCGGAACTTGATTATTTTCAAATCGATATTAAAGACATGAAAGAGGCACATCTATTGCTTAGCAAATATCTTGATGAATTTGTCACCTTTTTGGTGGAACATATTTTACGTGCAATGCGATCGATGGAGGAAAGTGTGGAATTTCATCTGAAATCTAATTCATGTCGAATTAAGCCTGAAGGTGAATCCGTTTGTACTCCTTGCAAGCCAAACATTGCATATAAACTAGCCAAAAAGTTTCATTTTAATATTTCGCAGTATCTAAGGATGAAATTTGAGGGTTCAGAAGTTGCTTCACTTCCACATATCTGTAATATTAATTATGCTAATGCTCCTGATTGCATCAAGTTCAGAGTGACCCTTAAATATGATTATGAATTAATATTGAGGATGTCGCATTTATTAAAGGTAATTTTTTTCATACTTTTTGGTTTATTATTATATTCATTACTGAACGTTTATTTTTGTTTAACAGAGTTGAAACATTGACGAGTACAAATGATCGTATCAAATTAATAGTTCAATAGTTTATTTCCTTGCGAGTATCAAATAAGTGATTTGTATGGAAAATATATAGTTAATTTCAAAGAATTATATATCCAAATTTGAATAATTGGAGGAAGCCACTATCTATTTCGCTCATTGCACTGTACTGTACTGTCTTATACAGGGTTGCCACTTTTATAAGTTCAAAAATCTGGGACTTAAATAATTCCTCAAGTCCAACGGTTCAAATGGCGCCCAATTGACAACCCTGGTCTTATTTGTTGTATCTAGGGCTCCTAGGTTCGGTTCGGTTCGGGTACGGTCGAACACCGAACCGAATCTGAACAGGGGTTTTACATTTTTCGAACCCGAACCCGAACCGAACGTGAACATCGTTATGGGTTCGGTTCGGAGTTCATGAACATGTTCGAGTTCGAACATACTCAGGTTAAAAATTAGGATATCACGGCCTGTAAAAATCGTGAACGGCCAGATTTTGGTAAATCTTTTACAGAACCAGTAGTTTCTATTTTTTTTTTAAGTCGGATAACAGAAGATTGCGCAATATTTTCTTTTGA